AAAAAAAAAAAAAAACTGAAGCTCCCAAGGAAAAAGAAGCAGAGAAACAGATAAGAAAAATCTACAAAATTTTAGAAAATGGTCAAGTGTGGTGGCATGCATCTGTTATCCTAGCAACTTGGGTGGTTAAGTCAGGAGGATCGCAAGTTTGAAGTCAGCCTGGGCAACTTAATGAGACTCAGTCTCAAAATTTAAAATAAAGGGCTGAGGCTGTAGCTCAGTGGCAGAGCACTTGCCTAGCACGTGTGAGGCAATGGGTTCGATCCTTAGCACTGTATTAAAAAATAAATAAATAAACAAATAAAGGCATGCTGTCTTCTACAATTACAAAAAAATTAAAAATAAAAATAAAAAGGGCTGGGAATGTAGCTCAGCAGTAGAGTACATCTGGGTTCAACCCCCTTCCCCACCCCACCCCCCAAAAAAGAACAAAATTTAGAAGATGAAAAGCAGACAAATGAGTAATAACTGACTTAGATGGAGAATTCTGAGTAATGCAGATGTAAAGCCACTGCAAATTCAACCACTGGAGCTGCCAGTTTCTTTTGAAGGTGTGTCATAAGGAGGAGACCAAAACAGGCAGTACTGGTCCCCTCCACCAGGCAACACTCTTGTCACTGCCCTAGCAGAAGATTGGAGATTTACTCTCTAAACAGGATGAACTAGTGACTCCAGACTTGTGTAACTGGGACACCATTGAAAATAAGGAAATGGCACCATTTAAGGGGACTGACTCAAAGTCTGCCATACAAAAAGGAGAGACCCAAGTCCCCTTTCACACAAGACTCCTGGAATGATAACAACCAGATTTATATCATCTAGGAGGACACCTAGAAGACTGAGGAGTCTGAACACATTCCAGTGAAAAGGCAGGTCCATTATCCTACAGGCCCTACCTGATAGCACCACTGGAGAACATGTCAGAAATGTATATTCTTGGGCCCATGCCAGACCTATGAATCAGAATTCAGGGGTGAACTCCAAAACCCAGAGTTTTTTACAAAGCCAACAAGGAATTCTGATGCCTGCTAAAGTTTGAGATCCATTGCCCTAAGGGAGGCCCACTAGTCAACAAGTCATCACATACCAAAAAAACTTTTCAGTGCCTGTTTATCTGAAAAACAATCTGGAATTGCCAGAAATTTGAGGAAAGACTATATTTCCTGTGTGTGTGTGTGTATGGGGGGGATAACAAACAAGTTTCACAGCACAGTTTTTGTAGAGGGCAGTGAAATGCAGCAGAACCTGGTATGCTTGGCCTTTTCCTGACCCTACAGTCACTGAAACACTTCTCAGGCCTTATAGAAGAGATTGGTCTTTACAGTTCTGACCAGCTCTAGCCTAGGCCTATACACTGGTCCTTATGCCCTTGAAACAGTAATTCAGACTGACACTCAGATGGTACTACATCTGAATGATTTACTTGTCCCTTTGAATGAACAGAAAGCATTTTAATTGAAAAAAAAGTCATACAGGCATTTTTTGCTATAAATCTACTATATTTGATATTTTTATTAAATGTAGAAATGAAAGTCACTATTTTATGTAGAAAGATCTGTGACTATTCCACTCTGTCATGCCCTTTTTGCTTTTCTGTGTTTCAAAAGCGTCCCTTAATTCACCATTACACCTTAAATCTAAATCCAAAAATCCCTCCTTATTATTGCTTTTCACCAGTCTCTATTCACATCAAATGTTACTTCCACAACTAGATCATTCTTCTGTTTGAAATCTCCACATCTCTCACATTTATTTCTGTGGACAAAAATCTCTCATTTATTTTTACTTCCTCTGCTTCCATTAGTCCAGCTCAGTTTTCTCAATCCTCTTGGCTCCTCTTTCTCACCTGAGAAGATCCTGCCCCTTTCTCAGACCACTGTATTCCTCTCCTGGAAAATCATTTCCTTCAGGAGGGGTTTAAAGGGATGAAAAGGAGAGACCTAAGTCCCCTTTCACACAGTGAAAAGGCAGGTCCATATTCTACAGGCCCTACCTGATAGCACCACTGAAGAACTTGGACAGGAATAAGGCAAAGAATACCCCAAAATTTCTCATTTAATTCTCCCACTAACATGGAGAATTAGGAACCTTACCTATTTTTACATTTGGAAGACTGAGGCTTAGAGAGAATGAATAACTTGTCCAAGGTTACAACTGGGATTTTAATCCAAATCCCCTTGTCACCAAAGCCAAACTATCCTACTTTACCCTCTCCAGCAGGGTAGCAAGGTTTCCTTAACCATGTAGAAAATAAAAGCAAAAAGATCTCTGCATAGTTGTTGTTTTTTGTTTTTAAACAGGAAGTTCACTCAGATGCTGAGAGCCTTCCAGCTAAAGTCCAATAGGGAACACTAATGACAGCACCATCTCTCCACCTGGAGGGTTCCACATGGCTCAGCAGCTTGTTCAAGAAGCAGCACAGCATGTCTCTCCGCAGGAAAAGACTCAAGCAATGGGGGGGGGGGGCCTGGTTTTTGTGACTGCTGGTAGGAAGGGTGGTTAAAATAGACCTTTTGGTGATGGTGGTGGGGGGGGTCTTCCAGGGTGAGAGGACATCTGCCCACCTCAAAGATTCTAACAATCAAGGACAAGCAATGACACCTAAGGAGAAGCCTTCACCTCTATACGAAAGCACAGTCAACTTCGAGCGGCACAAAGAAATCTCTATGTGCACAAGAAGATGCTTCAGTGGTATCCACCCAAATGTGGAGCCGGACACCGCCCCTTACTCCCAAGAGAAGCTGTAAGTACATTTTCTCTGGTCTGTGTGACAGAAAAAGGAGGCGGGCACTTCGGTGTCTCCCACTCTGAGGGCCTCGGCGGCGCACCTCTCAACCTTTCCTTCCAACGGCTGAAAGCTGTCCCTCTTCCGCGCCCAACTTGGCCTTAATACCCCTCTCCCACTCGGCACCTCTCTCCCTACCACGGGTCTCCCTCCACTCTCTTCTCTCCACCGCTCTGCCTGCTCGACCTCCCTTCCCCTGTCACCCGCCCCTCTTTTCTTCCCGCTCGACCCCTTTCCTCTCAGCCAGCCGCCGCCCATCCCGCAGCACCTTGAGCGTCACGTCGCACAGCTTGCCCTGTCGCCGGATCTCCTCCATGACGCCGTAGCCGCGACTAGGCAACTCCGACACGGAGAAGTGCACCAAGTCCTCAAGCTCCTCCGCACCGTCCTCCACCATCTTCCCCCACCGCAGCAACTGCGCAGGCCTGGCCGGCCGGCTCCACACTAACCAGGGCGGGGCGCACACCGACCGCAGCTAGGAACGCTGAGCCGGAATGGGACGGGCCTGCGCGGCCGCCGTAATCGCAAATTCTTCTGCGCCGGAAGACCTGCAGCCCCGCTTCCTGGTTCATACACAGCCTTCGTTTCCCCGCTACCTCGAACCCGGCTTTGCGCATGCAGCTGTTGCAGTCTTCCTAGAATCATTGGCCACATCTCCTGTTTTTCGATTCTGTCCTGACCTTACCTGTATCCTCGACCTAGTGCTGTGCACTTCATTTCCGCCACCACCCCACGATACTTCCGGAATCCCCGACGCGACCCGTTGCTATGGCGACTTTATACACAGCCCGGCAGCAGCTCTTGGCGTGTCCAGATCGCGTGCAGAGCTTGGGTCTCTGCAGTCGGCAGCGGTCGCACTGGGCGAGTGCCGCTGCCTCGGGAGCGGTGAGCAGGGGCCGCGCGACAGTGGGATTAGGGAGAAGGGAGGCCCGATGGGGTTGTGCATCCTGGCCGCTGGCAGTGGCTGAATTCCCAGCACCACTCTATCCCGGAGTTCCCGGCTTGGCTTGCTAGTTTGTGAAACTCTGGCAGAGGAAGGCACGCGGCTTCAGGAGGTCTTTTTTATTCTGGCAGCGATTTAAGACCTTCGGGGCTAATATTCCCTGGTTCCGTGAGGATCCCACGTCGTGCTCCAGACATAGAGGGCGTGAGGCAGGGGTGCCAGGGGTCTTCTGGACTCTTCTGCACTCCTTAGTTTTCAAACTGGAGTGACCTTGGGGATCATCAGTCTGAGTCCTGCGCTTTGAGCTCCAGAGAAAGAGAGGAATGGGCCCAAGGCCCACTGCCACCCACACTCCTCATGGGGCTCCTGCAAGTTAGGTGAGAAAAAAAGAGAAAGGCTACTTTTGCCTACATGCTGGTCTTGTCTCCAGCCCAAGGCCAGGTTGGACCCTATGTTTGGGGTTCAGATGCTGTTGTAGCCTCTGCCCCTGGTTTGTGCAAGAGTGCCAGAAAATAGGGACTGCCTAGGGTACCAGCCATCACACCAGATACTCCCTCATCTCCTGTCAAGCCTTCGGGAGCTGTGGGTGGCAATTCCTTTCATTGCCACCCCTAAAACAAATGAGGAAACAGTGAATCTCTCAATTTGGAGGTCTGCTGTTGGCCACTCAGATTCACTTTATTTCACAGGTGTTAAGGATGGTGTTCCAAAGAGAGGGGTATTCCTCACAAAGCTCTGAGGGATAAGGACACTACTAAAATGGAGTATGTTGAGGGCCTCTAAAATAAACCTAGAAAGCAAGTATCCTGAAGAACAACTGAAGGGTCAGAGTACTGGATGTGGTTTGGAAGGGGAGTCACATCATCTGCGCCTTGAGACTCTCTTAGTAGTGACTGAAGATGGACCCACACATGGAGATTCACCTATCCTCTGACTTCCAGCCATGACTATCACCACCAACCACCATTTCTTGAGCACCTGCTATGCTCTGAGCACTGTTCTGGATATTGTAGGGGGATTCTAAAGAGATAAAAGGCACATTCCTTGCTCTCAAGCAGCTTGTAATTTGGGAGCTGAAATCCACACAAATGAAGCGGCGTAAGAACAGTAACAAGCAGTATTTTAGTAAGTGCAAATGGCATGGGGCCCCCAATGTTTGGGTATTGAGGGGCTGCTGAATAGCAAGCACACAGTAGAGGTGTAGATCATAGGGAAGGCTTATTGCAGGCGGGTATGGCTCATGACATGCTTGGAGCCATAACATGAGCATCAGGAGACCTTGGGAACATGGACAGGCTGGTTGCATGTGCATGTGCATGTTAGCAATTTCATGGCAGAAAAGAGGCAGGTTCTGGGTTTACTTTGTGCTGGCTTATGCTACCCCTTGCTGTTGGTGGCAGGGGCTTCAGGGAGGGAGGCCTGGGCAGCAGGTCCCTGAGCTCCCCTGCTTCTTTTCTGTCCCTTTTAAAGAGCATCCTGAATGGTACCTGAACTTCCCTGGGAAGGAGGATGGGCCCTTGGGTCTAGTGTGGGGGAGTTGTTCCCAGAGCTTTAGAAATACAATATTTTAGTCAAAACACACTTTGCTTTACTCCGAATTTCCCATAGCATAGATTGAAGTGAAATAGAAAATGAGATACTCTCTTCAGTTTTCTGGTAGGACTTTGGGTTAGAGTTATTGGTGGCTTTTTTATTTCTAGAGCTAAATTTTAAAGACAAATATGACAATTTGGACAAGCCATTTTCTTTGCTCACCTCAATATCTTTCAGATTAATTTTCTAAAAATCAAAAAGTCTGAATGACCCCATAGTGGCTAGGAAAAGATGATCATGAAATAGTGAGTTGAGGAATGTAGGAAGTATATACATACTTTATAGTAGGCAAATATGTATGTACTATGTTTGCTACTTGATTTGACAGCTGAAAGACTCATAATAGGTCAGGGTTTTATTTTGCCCCCATCATCAAAAATGTGAGCTGAAAGAGGAGCACCTATCTCTATTTAACTTGCTTCTGCAGGAACACTTAATGCCATTTGATGATAGTTCATATAATTTTAAGAGAAAACTGATCATCATAAGTTGTGTCTAGAAATGTGGAAGGACATTAATATTTTAATAGAAATTTTTTTGTTAGGTAACTCCTATGTAAAATATTACTATTTTTTAATGTGCTTTAAAAAAACAATTAATTGTAATTGAAAAAAAGAAATCCCTGGGCTGGGGCTGTAGCTCAGTGGTAGAGTGCATGCCTTGCATGTGAAGCACTGGGTTTCGATCCTCAGCATCACATAAAAAACAAATAAATAAAGATATTTTAAAAAAACTAAATAGAACTTAAAAATATACACACAAAGAAATCCCTGTTGTGCCTGAGAGCTTTTTTCTTAAAAAAACTGAAAGGCCTTAAATATTAGTTTTGTTTTTTTTAAAATATTGGATATCAGGGGCTGGGGTTGTGGCGAAGTGGTAGAGCGTTTGCTTCTCACATGTGAGGCACTGGGTTCAATCCTCAGTACCAAATAAAAATAAACAAAATAAAGGTATTGTGTCCATTTACAACTAAAAGAAAATTTTTAAAAAATACTGAATATCATATCATTTTGTTAAAGTACTTTGCAGGTACAAACAAGCTATTTCTCCATATATATATCTATTTTTTTCCATTTTCCAAATTGAAGGTTGAAATTGAGTCAGATTCCTATGCTTCATGTTTCTCTAACTTCTTATAAATTTAGCAAAC